CAACATATCTCAAAAAATATTTCAAATATTTTTCAGTGGACCCTCGTGATTATTTGCATAAGTTGCTTGTCCGATTTCTTTAATCAGGCTTCAACAAACACAAAGTGGTACATACATTCACACATTTGGAAAGCAGGGAGATACGAACTTGCGAAGTGCTCAACTCTTTACTTGTCTGGACAGAAATGGCTGAACCCTCTCTTCACCTGAAAAAATTGGAAGGCAAAGTTGCGATCATCACAGGCGGTGCAAGCGGCATAGGGGAGGCAACAGCACGACTTTTCTCCACTCACGGTGCATTATTGGTAGTCATTGCCGACATCCAAGACGAAAAGGGCCAAAAAGTAGCAGAATCCATTGGCTCAAATAATTGCAGCTACGTCCATTGTGATGTTTCTGATGAAAACCAAGTCCAAGGCATGGTTGAATGGACTCTAAAGACCCATGGCCGACTTGACATCATGTTCGCCAATGCCGGAATATTCAATAAGTCACCTCAGACCGTTCCAGATCTCAACTTATCCGATCTGCAGCACGTTTTCTCCGTCAATGTTGCTGGGACGGCTGCATGCGTCAAGCATGCAGCTCGCGCAATGATCGATCAGGGCATCAAGGGTAGCATAGTCTGCACAGCGAGTACGGCCGCGAGCCGTGGAGCAGAAGTTCGGACTGATTATTACATGTCCAAGCATGCAGTTCTGGGACTGATGAGATGTGCGAGCAAGCAACTGGGAGAGCACGGAATAAGGGTGAATTCTGTGTCGCCTTACATGGTGGCGACACCTTTGGTTTGTAATAACCTAAACATGACGGTGGAGGAAGCTGAAGCGTCTTATCCACTTCCATGTTTGAAGGGGCGGGCGTTAAAGGCTAATAATGTGGCAGATGCTGTTCTGTTCCTTGCCTCAGATGATTCTTCTTGTATCACCGGCCATGACCTACTGGTTGATGGTGGTTCAAAAATATGATAAATGGTTACTCTCTCAACAAAGGGTCTCCAGATTTCAAGGATCCATGCATCTAGGTAATGACCATTTGGAGCTTTAAGCCATATAAGGTAAGGATCCAGCTAGAATCACCAATCATGCTCATATTTGATTTTTTTTTTCCCGATCTATATTACTCCTATCCTATGAGGGAGAGGGTAAATCCAATCCAATCCTTGAAATTGAGTCCGAAAAGTTCAATTTTATGATGAATTAATAGGTGCTGTAGACCAGTTGAACGGTGAAACCTGCCATGGCACCGGACGAGTTCGTTGTTAAACAAGAAAAGTTAATTCAACTAGTCAAACTTGATCAAGGCAGATTAACTCGGTCAAAAACCGATAAACATTGGATGGCTGGAATGGTTTCAACTAGTTTTTTTCCTTTTTTTTTTAAAAAAAAATTTTAAAATTTGATGTTATCCATATTATTTAATCCCCCAAATTAAAGCAAAATTGAATATTTGACGGGATAGGAGTAAATCGAATGCCTCGAGATTACGTCTTCGCAACTAGGATCTTAAAAGAAATCAAGCTCTTAATTACCAATAGCCTTTCGAGTGGATACTATTTATCAAAAAACAGAACGTCTTAATGATTCTGAAACTAATTACTACATAATTTAATTCTAATCAAAAAGTCAAAGAGTGCACCTTGCTTTGCTCGGGCAGCAATCTCTTTGTATCATCACTATGATTCCAGTAGAACTTTCAATAACAATGAAGCATAATTTTCCTCACCTGCATATCTATCTCCATATTAACATTTTTCTTTAGGAACCAAGCTGACTGCCCGGCCCATAATTCTTTCATCATGTGTATAAACATGGGGAGGTTGGCTGAAAGTGTTTGTTAAGCTGTAATTCGCCAGTACAAAGAGCTTTACGTAGCATTCAGATCCGATCATGCATGGCCAGTAACCCCCCCCCCCCCTTTTTTTTGGGGGTAACTGGAAATGGTTATAGGTAAGATTGTTTATAATTGTGCTCTTACATCATCTTTTTCATATCTCTAGTCTTAATAATAAATCTATTAATCTTTATTCCACGTTTTACACTTATTGGTTGCCACTACACTTGTATCAGATTTCATCATATACAAAGTATTTATATATAGAGAAACTTCAGAAGAGATAAGACTTATATAGTGGCCATAAAAAAATGATTAAAGCCTCATTTTGGATTATAGGTCAGGATTGGAATTCTATCTATATATAGTGAAAAAATTCAAATGAAGTGTCAGAACATTTCTTTGGTCTAGTAAATTTTTATACCTGTTAGCCCTGCATACAGTCTCCTTAGGCTCTCTTCCCCTTAAATTAAAATTGATTAGATTATAGAAACACTGTCGTTAAGCACCACAGCCACTCAAATGTCATTCGATTCATGGTTTATTGATTATTAAAAAAAAAAAAAAAAACTCAGCCAGCTATGTCTCTGACATGAGGCATTTCTTGAAAAAAAATTCTAGGCTGTTGTTGATTTTGAGTAATAGATTTGATTATCTAAAAGACTAAAATAGAGGATAGTTGAGGCTCCAGTTACCAAATTTTTTTTTTTTTTGGTCTATGAAATCGAAATTTGACTGATAAAAATTGAATTTTCTCTTCAAACTTTGAATACAAAATTAAGAATAGTCCTCTAACACTCAATAACAATATAATTTTCAGCTCCTAAATTGTTTATTGTGTCGATTTTCTTGAAATATTTGAAATTAATTTGAAAAATCCTCATTTGAGCTTCTATACAGCATTTTACGGACATTATACCATTCTAGTTTACAGTAACGCAACTTGTAAGTGAGCATACGTGTGAGTGTGTTTGGATAGTAGGTTATTTTGAATAATAAAAAATGTTATAGCACTTTTTGACGTGACGTAATAAAATAAAAAATTAATTAATAAATATATTGACGATGTAAATAATTAAAATTATGCAAATAATTTACGATCCAAAACATTGAAAAGTTCCATCGTAGCTCTAATTATTCTAAGCTAGCCAGCGCTGCCCACTTCCCTTATCATTTCACCAACGCCAATTTTTGCATGGCCCACACTAATACTTTGCGTTATAAAACTGCAAGCAAGATCAGCACGACGAGCCAGACAAGAATGACCCCATCATCCTGACTACTTGACACGACGGCACCTCATATTTTTCTTAGGGATAATTTCAGAAATCTCCCCCTGATGTTTCTGACAATTTCGCTAAACTCTCTCAAGGTTTGAAAAATTACACTTATCTCCTTTAATTTGATAGTTTTAGTAACAAAATCTTAAAATAATATTGAATTGGTCAATATTTTTAATGAATACCCAAAAATGCCCTTATATAATGAGTTAATTTATTTTCCTATACAATTATAAGATTACCTAGTATAATTATAAGGAAAAGGTACCAAATTTTTCATGTGCATATCTACTATTTGATAAATGACAATAATAATAATTTTATCACTATGATAGGATACTTTTAATGACACTTTATTATAGATTTATATTTATAAGATAGAAAAGAAAATGTTGAAATAATTCATTTAATTTTTATTTATTCTTAATTTTAGTACCAAAAAATAGAAAACAAAGATCAGCAAAAATATTGGATTAAATTTAAAATTAAATCATCAAAAAAATTATTAGTTCGACATTTAGTTACAATAGAAACTAGAAGCAATAGTGGTAGTTTTATAGTTTTATTGGAGAAAAATTTAAAAAAAAGGAATAAGAAGGAAAAAGAATGAAATAATAATTTTAAAACTCATTCTAAATATAAGCATGCCAAAAAAAGGGAATTTCATCAAAATATTTAAGGATAAATTTATCATTTTAAATGATAAGGGAGGTGCTTGTAATTTTTCAAATCTCAAGAGAGGAGGCTTCTGAAATTATCCTTTTTTTTAAGAATTATTTTGCCCATCATTCCTTGTCAGCGTGACGGGCATAGAATGAGAAAAGCTACGTGTTGGACCCCTAATTGACTGTTCTTTTTTTTTTTTTTTCAAATAATCAATATTTTGAGGAATTTGCCACCCATTCTATGGTGGCATTCTTCGAGTCTTACATTTGCAAAAATATCCTTCGCGAATTAAAAGTCAAAAAACGTCACAACTTGTCATGGAATCGTGACAACTTCTACTGCATCAGTTGTGGATGTATGATGCGAGAGGTATCACCAATAGATATTTTCAGTGCATCTTTTATTTTAGTAGCATTTTTTTTTGGTTAATCAACAAGTCATTATGGTGCAAATCGGTATTCTTCACAACCATCATCTTACATTTGCAAACAATATTCTTCTTTTTCTCGTTAGAATAAAAGTTTAAGTGATTTTGACTCAATTCATTATCATGAGTCAAAGCATTTGCACAAAACATATGCTGCCTGCACAAATTAAGATTGATGATAATTTCAGGAAAGGGTTAATTGTTGAAATTTAAACACGTAGTGTCACAAATCAAAGGCCCAAACTCATGGCAACTAGTTCGATAACTGCCAATATGCTTGCATGAAGTGAGACGTATCATCAATACATATTTTTAGTGGATCTTTTTGAAATTAGTAGCTTTTATTTTTATTTTGGTTAAAAGAATGACAGTAGCATATCATGGTTGTGATTGTAAAAATCAGAGATATATACTACCACACAACGTAGACTTATATTATTACTCGATAAAATCGATAATTTTGCTACTTTCTGACAACAAAGCGCAAGTTAATTGGCAAGGCACTTCACTTATAATCGAGGGTTCGAATCATCAATAGGGTATTAATAAGGGTAAGTGAAAAATGACTGTTGATTCTCTCAGTAGAGAAAAAGAAAAAAAATTATTGCTACTTTCCTTTTTGTAAATCAACTAGGTACATGGTACATATTAAATACTATATTTTACATATAGCGACGTTCTCCAAAACTAGCCAACAAGCACAATAAATAACTACGCCTGTGTACATTAAAGGGCATGCCTTCCAAAAGATTGGACATCAAGAAGACACTTTAGTGCAATTTTATCCTCGACCTTCTTGGACAGAATATGTCTAGACCTACTCTTCAGTTGAAAAAACTGGAAGGAAAAGTTGCCATAATCACCGGCGGCGCGAGCGGCATAGGGGAGGCAACAGCACTACTTTTTTCCACTCACGGCGCACGGGTGGTAATCGCCGATGTCCAGGACGAAAAGGGCCAAAAGGTTGTGGAATCCATTGGCTCCAACACTTGCAGTTACGTCCACTGTGATGTTGCTGATGAACAGCAAGTCCTAGCCATGGTCGAATGGACTCTAAAGACTCATGGCCAGCTCGACATCATGTTCGCCAACGCAGGCATAGTAAGCCGGTCAGATCAGACAGTTCTGAATCTCGACTTCTCCCAACTTCACCATCTCTTCGCCATAAATGTAGACGGCGTGGCTGCCTGCGTGAAACATGCAGCTCGCGCGATGGTCGCTCAGGGCATCAAAGGTAGCATAGTCTGCACGGCTAGTACATTTGGAAGTAGTGGAGGACAAATTCGAACAGATTATCACATGTCCAAGCATGCGGTATTGGGGCTGATGAGATGCGCCGGCAAGCAACTCGGAGAGCATGGAATACGGGTAAACTCAGTGTCGCCGAGCGCGGCGGTAACACCTATGGTTTGGAATCAATTTAAGATCACGGCAGAGGAAGCTGAAGAGGTTTGTCAACTTTCAAGCTTGAAAGGGAAGGCGTTAAAAGCCAATAATGTGGTGGATGCTGTTTTATTCCTTGCCTCCGATGATTCTTCATGTATCACTGGCCAGGACCTACTCGTCGATGGTGGCTCAAGATGATGATGGATAGTCATCTCCCACAGGAACAATTTAAGGTTCTATCTTAACTTTCTGAAAGCCTACAGCTCTACCCAAAATGTTTCAAGTTGTATCTCGATTCTTACTTTGATCCTTGATGCGACTGCCGAAGTGAAGATCCGAACTGAGCTGGTTGAGCGTCCGACCTGCACGTGAGCGAGCTGCGGGGCTGAGTCCCCTGTAGCAACTCCGACGATCAAGTCAGAACTAGTTTGTAAGTAAAAAGAGTAGAGTCTGCACTATGAGTAGCGTACCTTGTGTTTCTTATGGGTGTGGTATTTATAGAACACCAGGTGGTAGTTTCCTGGTAGGACAAGGAGTCCTTATTGGAGAGGATAAGCCTCTAGGGCTCCACTACCCAGCTCTGGTAGACGAGGGCTCCGAAGCCCATCAGGCCCATCCGCCTGGGAGGCGGCGCTCGTCTGGTCCTGCGAGAGGACCTGACCCCTAGACCAGCCCATCACGTCAGGACTCTTGGGCCGAGCTGACGTGTATGTGGACCGGGCCGATGTGCTCATGGGCTCCACTACACTAGCCCCCCCTCTAGTCTAGAGTCACCGAACAGGCGCGTGAATCTAGGCCGACTTTCAGAGCGTCGCGTCAGCTCGGTGCGGGCCCCTGTCAAGGAGTGGTGCAAGCAACCGTCGCGTCGGTTCGTGTCTGTCACCTCAACCGTCGCGTCGACCAGTTATGGCGGTTGGGAACGGTTCCCCATAAATAGTTCAAATAAATGCGCGCCCTCTCGTCTTCCCGCCCTGAGAATCGCCTATAAATAGGCCCCTTGGGCGTCATTTTCACTCCTCCTTTTTCACTCTATCAGTTCGCTCCTTTCACTCCTAACTCGCTGCTTCAAACTTTTTTCTTTCAGAACACGTCGGGTCGATCTTTCTTAGGAGCCCAGAGTTAGTTCGGCCCTCCCTAAATCAGCTTTTCATCCGATCTCCTTCCATCAGTAAGTTTCCTTTTCCTTTTTATGTCTTCTTATAGTTCTGATAGCTCTGACGTTACCAGTTCGGCCCCTAGGCACAGAGCAGCTAGCCCCATACTCCTAGATAGCCCCTCTCCCGACCCTTCAAGTTCTTCTCCTTCCACTTCATCTGGGTCAGTAACCGCGCCTTCTCCCATACAATCTCCTGTCCAAATAATGAGCCCAGCCGAACAAACTGCCCAGCCTCTAGTCGGGGCTGCGGAACAGGCAGCTCCAGCTCAGATGGCCGCGGGGACCTCGGGAGGACCTAGTGGCGACTTTGGAGAGGTCGACACTATCCCCCCTGCCCTGGGACAGAAGGAAGTTGACGGGCTGGCCGAAAAATATGAAATCCCAGCCCAGTTTGAACCTAGGGCTGCCCTACCGGGGGAGGTCGCCAGCCGACCTCCTCCTGGCTTCGTGGCGATCTATAGGGACCAGCTGATGGCTGGTCTCCGCCTGCCTATTCCCAACTTCTTCTTCTTCATCCTCACCTTCTGGGGCATCCGCATAACTCAGGTCATCCCCAATGGTGTTCGCTCCATTATAGGCTTTTTCATCCTCTGCCGAGCACTAGAAATTCCCTTTTCCCACGACCTGTTCCAAGCCTTCTTCCAGATGAAGGTCAGCGGGAAGGTGCCCGGGTGGTTCTACTTCGCCCGTAGAAGTGGAGCAAAAACCCCCACCCGCGAGCTGTTCACGGGGGTACCTTCCTCCTTCAAAGACTGGAAGCGTTACTTCTTTTTTGTGAAGAGCCTGGGCTTTCCCCCTCTGACCTGGAGGGCGGAGACTCAGGTTTCGGATCCACTTCCAGATCCGCTCCCTGTAGCCGAGCTCAGCCGCCTACTCAGCTCAGACGAGAAGCTGGAGGTGAAAGAGTTCAGCAATGCCCAACTCTGGGCGGCGGGGCTGATCCGAGCTAACCCCTCAGATCCCTCGCCAGAGAATAGGCCGCTCTCGCCAGACGAGCTGACCTCTTGTAAACGACCTGGCCCTCCTTTTCTTTCCTCTCTTTGTTTTATGCATCTACTGACCTTCTGGTCTTCTGCTTTTTGCAGTGAAGAGGTTTTCTTCCCTTCTAACCATCGGAGGAGCCAGCACTCCAGGTGCTACTACCCAGCCCTCCTCAGCCATTCCAACCAGCTCGGCACCAGATCCGACGCCTCAGCCAACTCCTGCTCAGTCCGCCAAGGCTGTCGAGGCTGGGAAGAAAAAGAAGAAGAAGACAACTGCCAAGAGGGCAAGAGTGGAGACGACCTCCTCCCCAGTTCAGGAAGAGAGGTCCACGCCTGAACCTGGTCAGGGCGGTCACTACGGCGTGAATACTGCCGAGGAGCAAGCCCGAGCTGACGCTCCTCCTAACCTGTGGCAACGCCAGAGTTCTACCCTGCTATTCGACCCACAGACGCGGCTGATCACGCACCAACACCCAATGCACTTCTGTCCTCAGTGGAAACTCTCCATAAACGACCGAGCTCAATTTCCAGAGGTGGCCAGGGAGCTCGCTCAGGGGGCCATCCTTCCAAGGGACCACAGCTTGGTCAAGGCCATGGAGGCGTCTGACCTCCTCGACTATTATTACACAGGCGCGGCCCAAGTGAACTTGGTTGGTTCCGAGCTGGCCAAGCGCTACGAGGGCCTCCTCCCCCTGATGAGCGAGACGAGGGCGGCCAATGAGAAACTGCTTAGCCAGAACGAAGCAGCTGTGGCAGAAGCTGAAGGTCTGAGGAAGCAGCTCGCCCAGGCTCACTCTAATTTTGAACTGGAGCTAAAGAAGAACTCCGACCTGACCTCTCAGCTGCATGGGGAGCAGAAGAGGAGCGCCGAGCTGTCTGCTCAGGTCGAGGCGGCTAGGACTGAGGGAGCCCAGGAGGGCGTGCGGGCCTTCCTCAGGTCGGAGGATTTTAGGGGCGACCTGGCCATCCTGAATACTCCCATGCTGCATCATGGGTATTCTCAAGCCCTGGAGGAGGTGCAAAGGCTGGGTTTGCCTGGGTTTGATCTGGGCAAGTTTCCCAGCTACAACCCCCTGGCTGTGGAGCAGCTCGACCGCCTGGTGGAGGGTTACACGCATGGACGGAAGTTGGCCGACCTGGTTGCCGATCCTCAGCTGCCAGTAACCACTCCTGAAACCGATCAGGAGGAGGAAGAGGGCGAGAACTAGAGTAGGAACTTAGGATAGGATCTGAACTGTCAGTAGGCAGTTCGTTTTGTATGAGCTCTGCTCTTCCTCTGTGCAATTCCTTTTGTGCGAGCTTGGCTCCCCTTTGTACAGTTTTATTGAATGAAATGAAAAGGCCTTTCCCCTTGCTTCATTCTTAGTCTTATTTGCAAAAATCGTCACAAAGTGCATCAGGTCGGTCCAATACCGACCTGAGGAAACTACTCCCTAATGATGAAATAACTTTTTAGCCGAATACATTAATAACAAAAAGGTCTTGACCTTGGGACGAGCTGTCCTCTTAACGAAAAATCCTCAAGTTGGAATTGTGCCAGGTTCGCGGGACCACTTCCCCGCTGAGGTGGGCTAACTTGCAGTGCCCAGCTCGATCCGCTTCTTTCACCACATAGGGACCTTCCCAATTTGGGTCCAGCTTGCTCGCGCCCAGAACCCGACTGACACTATTCTTTCGTAAGACCAGGTCCCCTGGTTTGAACGACAGAGGTCTCACCCTAGCATTGTAGTGCCGCGCGATCTGTCCTTTGTACTTGGCCATACGTATGGCTGCCTCCTCCCTTCTTCCTTCCAGCAGATCCAAATTAAGGCGCAGCTCATCTTCATTGTCCCGAGCTATGAAATTCTGAACCCTGCCCGATGGAATTCCTATCTCCGCAGGGATCACCGCCTCTGCTCCATAAGTTAGAGCAAAAGGAGTCTCCTGGGTAGCAGTTCGGGGAGTGGTTCGGTAAGCCCACAATATGGTTGGCAGCTCGTCCATCCACCCAGTTCGGGCGAATTCTATCCGTGTCTTCAAACCGTGCAGGATGGTTCTGTTGACGTTTTCGACCTGTCCATTGGCCTGAGGGTGGCCAACCGAGGTGAAGTGCTGCCGGATCCCGAGCTCCGAGCACCAGTCTTGAAGAGCGGTGTCAGCGAACTGACGCCCGTTGTCAGAAACCAGGACATGAGGTATTCCAAACCGGCAAACGATGTTTTTCCAAAGGAACTTCTGCACCGACCTGCTGCTAATGGTGGTAAGGGGCTCGGCCTCCACCCATTTGGTGAAATAATCCACTGCCACTACCACATGTTCATAACCCCCAGGAGCTCGGGGAAACGGACCCAACAGGTCGACTCCCCATTGGAAAAAAGGCCAAGGACTCTGAAGAGGGATCATCTCCTGAGTTGGGACGTGATGGATCGGCGCATGCAGCTGACAGGATTTGCACCGAGCTACCAGGTCGGCTGAATCCAAGAAGATGGTCGGCCAGTAATATCCAGACAGCATTCCCTTCTTGGCCAGAACCCTTGGGCCGACGTGGTTTCCACATATGCCCTCGTGCAGCTCCCGCAGGATGTAGTTTCCTTCCTCCGGAGTGATACACCTCAGCCAGGGGCGCAGGTAAGATTTCTTGTAGAGTACCCCATTCGAGAGCTCGTATCCCCGCGACCTGAGGAGGACCCTCCGTGCCTCCGCCCGGCTTGGAGGGAGTTCTCCACTAGCCAAGTACCGCACGATGGGATCCATCCATGAGCCCAACACTTGAATAACAGCTGCCTCTACCTGGTCGTATGCCCGATTCCTGACAACCTCTACCAGGACTTCTTTGTTCAATGTACCGACCGAGGTGGAAGCCAGTTTGGACAGGGCATCCGCTCTCTTATTTTGGCTTCGCGAGACCTGCTTGAGTGTGAATACCTTGAACTGAGCTCTCAGCTCATGCACTTTGGCGACATACCTCCTTAAGGGCTCTTCCTTAACCTCATAACGTCCTCCTACCTGATTCACTATTAGCTGCGAGTCGCTGTAGACTTCTATTGACTCGGCCCCCAACTTCCGAGCTATCATCATCCCTGCGATTAGGGCCTCATATTCGGACTCGTTGTTAGAGGCCCTGAAATCAAACCTCAGGGCGTAGGCCAGCTCATCCCCCT